AACATAGCCCCAAGACCGCGCAACAAAGGCTCCAGATGGCCTAAGCTAGACCCAAGCTGTGCGCAACATAGCCCCAAGCCCGCCCAACATCGCTACGGCCACTCCCTCAGCCTGCACCCGCACCCAAAGCCCCCTACCTCAACGCCCCTGGCCGGCTGTCGGGCGTAAGCCCTTAAATCATACAAAGGAATTTCGACGAGAAACAGCTCGACTCAAGCCTACTGTGCAGGTCCCAAAAAGGTCATGGATATTAACACCACTAACACTTCTCGTGAGTTCGTGAGTTCCGGTCGGTCCCCTGGTACCTCCACGAAAAGCCGCCGCCGAAACACAGCCCGGGCGCCATGCCCAGCGGGACCTAAAACTGCCACGAAAGGGGTCCTCTGAACTGCTCCGCAAAACAAAAGGCAGTGCCACTTCCAAGAAGACCGCTGTAAGCACCCGATGAATCGCCTCAGCATCCTCCTCATCAGCAATTGGGCCACCTTCAACAACAGTTGGACGGTCCAGATCCGATTTGGGCTCCATGGGACTAACGTATTTGCCAAGCTTCAGATGATTTGTTTGTGTGGGTCAATGGAGAGTGTCTATTCCAGTGGGTCAAATACTCAGCCACCCAAAAATGGACGCTTGACCATGTCTGGTAGTCTCTGTTCATTTGGGGTGGTCAGTCGGTCCACTGGTTTTGACTCGCACCCGGCGTGGAGTTTTTGGACTGGAGATGCACTCTCACATTGCTGACACTTGAGATTTAGTATTGTCCAAGTGCCCTGGATAAATGTTGATATATTTCCGGAACACAGATATAGCAGCGGGGTTCCACCAATACACAAATATACACAAAACGCACACGACTTACCTTCTCAGCGTTCGAAGCATGGGCATCGACCCTCATCACCTCGGTTTTCACCTTGTCTCTGTCTCGAAAAAGGGCCGAGACGACGGGTGAGGGCAGTCTCCACCCAGAAGAATCCATCTGTGGAAAATGGACGGAAGATATCAATGCGATCTCACGGACGTGGTTTTCTTACAACCACAATTCTTGTTTCTAACAGCTTCTTGTTCCTAGTAGTAAGGCCAGGAGCCCCTAGTAGCGTCCTTGCTCCTAGTAGCGATGCAGGAGGCCCTAGTAGCGTCCTTACAACCACTGAAACCACCCTTTTTTGTACTTAACGCGCTATGCATGGAGTATATGGATAGATAGCGTATAAACCCCGCTGGTTTGTCGAAAAGAACTGCTGCCAGCCATTTGCATCATACTACTACATACTAATTGGCATTGATCGCATGCAACTTGTTTTGTGACCACGGCCTGATTTCTCCGGGATGACGAAGTCATCATCCGCAATCACGGGCAAAACTGAACAAGACTCCAGGAAGCGTGCTTTGAGAACACACTTGGTCACATATGAAGAGACAAAGCAGTTCTTGGAGCACATCAAGATCAGGACTGAGGGCTGAATTTGCTGTAGCTGCTGCTCTGGTTCTTCTGGGGGGGATCACCATGATTGGCACGCCACGATCCATTGTCATTGGGGCCAGGAAACGCGCCAAGACATGGGCTGCAGCCTTGGCGTTTGCTAGGATCCGGGAAACATCCAACAATCCAAAGATCTTTGAGAAAGGGATTCTCAAAACTCTCCGACAATACTACTAAAGACAGCTCCCGGAAGCGGGGAAATGCACGAAAACACCATATTCATGTCCATATTCAGTTCTGGGAAGCTAAGGCTTCAGTGTTGTCGTGGTCGACCACAATGCAACCACCAATGCTTGGAACATGAAGGCCGTCGTTCACACCGCTCTTGTGCCCGATCTCCGTGAGCTCTCCAACCTTGATTTTGTCTCGAAAGTGGACCCAACTAGACAAAGAAGTGGCTCCTCGTTTTTGAAGATTGATTGGATTCTGTTTCGATCATTAGAAACATTCGAAGAAACATGGGATGGATGTATCTGTATAGCTCAGCAAAGCCACGATCTCAGCCACACTCCTTGCAGAGACCTTCTTCACGCGAATCGTCTTCATGGTCCAAAGCCATCGCAGGGACGCTTTCACTTCAGAGAGCCCGTAACCTCGCAAAAATCTGGACACATAAAAATTGGTCTACTCTGCACTCACTGGAAGTGGAGTGTAACAGCTGTTTTTGAAGAGGAACATGGTCATCCAAGGGGCCAATCCATCCACTTTGATTTTTTTCAGGGGTTGCAAAGGTCTAAAGAGCACATGAACAAGGACAGTCCGTCACCTGAAAAGCTCCGAGTCGTCGATACGCAGGACGCAAGACGCACGAGAAGGAAGCTTTGTTTCACATGAACATGGCCCTTGTGAGTGGAAGCCATGTTGGATGATGTCATAGTGACTAGTGTTTTAGTACATCTGCGAAGATTGCAATTGGGATTCAACATAAACCATGTAAGTAAATGTAAGTAATAGCGCATGCATGTCGTTGTCCTTTTGCCAAACCATTGACTTCGACACAAGTCCAACATGTTTGACTGTCAGTTCATTGTAAAGCCGGGGCACTTCAAAATAGCTTCAAGTCAATGTGTTTTGCAAATCCTTTCTTTGGGTATCATTGTTGGTTCCTGCTGTTTCCTCTAGTTTCTTATGATGTTCCTTCACTCCTGTGAATGTCCTTTGCAACTGTTCATTCCATTCCTTAAAATGTCTTGGCAGCATATTTTGTTGCTTGTTGTTTTATCGTTCATCACTTATGTCTCATATCCTTGTTCTTTTTAAATTCCTTTCTTCCTTTGATAATAAATCATATATCCATTCAAACCATTCACATCCTTTCATTCTTTTGTAGCTCGGACTGATTTCCATGTCATAGTCGACAGTCTTGGTTATTCCTTTGGATTTATTCTGACTGTCTGTTCCTTTGGTGGTTGTCCACCTTGAGATTTGAATGGGACTTCCAATTCCAACGATATCCAAATCAAAAGGAATCGTCGGTCATCGCTCGAACCATTCCCATCTTCGGTCATCGGTCAATCCGCCAGTGACCACAAGTCGATGAAATCGGTATTCAAGGGAATCGGTTGACTGGTGGCAGCACGGTGCTCCGGACAGAAAACACTTCCCCAGCAAGAATGGATGTCTTCAGTTGGAGTTCGGCCAATTCCGGACGTTGGGAAATCCCAGTTTCTCTCTTTGAGCAAGAAAGCCACCCGGACGATCGGTGGACATGGGATCTTTTCACGGTCAAGGGAGCTTCGGTCGCCTTCCGCCCAACATACCCCACAAGCCATGATTCCATGATGAAAATTGGCTCTTCCTTGATTGAAGGTCCCTGATTTTATGATTCCACTGAAGACGATTTCCAGTCCGGCGCGGAATCCTTACCCCACGATGGAGACCACTTTTCATGAAGAAAGATCGCAAACACTTGCATTCTTGGACTGGACGCCGGTGACAGTTTATATACATGGGCAAAGGTACAATGATGTACGATGACACTAAAGACACCTGTCATTGTTCGACATGTTTACGTAAGCTGCAACAGAACAACCTCAAAACCAACAACGCAAACAATCCTGAACCAACATGCACACAAATCCAAATAACTAGCAATCTTAAGAATCTAATATCAATCCAAATGGATTTTCAGCCAAACTCTGTCCGTCGCAGCCCATGAAATGGTCCAGTGACCATAGGTCGTGAGGTCAATGATCTCTGGCACATTGGCACCATAGTCGTTGATGAAATCTTCATCTGGTAGGCTGAAGTCCGGCAAACTCACCAGCACCGCCTGCACCTTGATATGCGCAAGCATGCGCAAGCATGCGCTATTCACTTGAAGCACGTTATATTTCTCTTGATGCATCCATGTTCATGAGTTCAAGTGTGGAGGAGATCAGTTAGAAAACAAATACGTCTTCAGGCGCTACTGAAGAAGCCAAGAGAAAGTTCGACGAAGAAGTGGATTCGGTTGGGATCTGCTGCGACCGGCCCGCAACCACTCAAAGTTTATCTTTGCTTTAATGCAACAATAACAACGACGACAACCACCAACAACAACAGCATCTACAACAACAACCAATAACAACCAACAACCACCAACCACAACCACAACAACGACCAACAACTAACAACCAAAAACCACAACGTTAACATTACAGTCACACCAACGTCAAGTAGTTAAACACTAAACATCAATCAACACAATATAGAAAACTATCACAATCACAACCACATCACAAGAATCACAACCAACAAACCCCCAAAGCGCGCAACCAAGGCACATTGAAGAGTCTGGCCGTGACGATCTCTCCAACACACCATTTCCGCATCACCAGTTGTGGGCTTCCCAGGATTGCCAAGGTCTCCACTTGGGTACCTGGGATGAGTCGCCCGGGATGAGTCGCTTAGGTTGACTCGCCGGAAAAAAAAGAAAACACACCTGGGTGACAGGTGTGGCGGACAAAGGGTGACGTTCAGAAATATCCTGGAATGGTATCAGAATTTGCAGGCTCTATATAGTAGGGACTGTCGAGCACTCAGCGCAACACGCCCAGCTTGTACAGAGATTCACGGTGTTTGATTGGATTCCACCACAAGAACTTTGGATTATCTGGATTTCAAGACAGCCGCACTATGACCAGATGAATTGGGTCTCTGAACTTCTCGATACAGTTGCACTTGATCAACACACCCGATTGCTTTCACACCCAAAGATCCCCTGTGAGGTAAAGACTCACTCCGCCGGACACGCCCAACCGACCTCAGCTCTAAAACAGCCAACCGGAATGGTTGCTTCTCCCACGAATGAATCGATGACGCTCGCGACGCACGGTCGAGAAAAACAGGACACTCACATATGAGAAGAGCTGAGTAAGGTCAGTGAGACTGTCCAGGTCGATAAAGGTCTTGAAACGCGCCCCGCAGCCTGACACCACAAACATCGCGGGTGAGCGACATGGATCTGTCACATCTTTTTTGCCACTTGGATCCTCCAGTCACCCACCAAAGCTGTCCAACTTAGAGAACAAAACACTTTGAAAAAAATTGGATATCTGATTTGGCTAGCAGGATGCCTTGGTTGACCTATTAGAAGGTCAAACTACACAATAAACCACAGCTCCAGGCGTTGACCCGTGCTCATTTAAAATGTCTTAAGATTTCCATCTTCCAGACTCTGTCCAAATCCTCTCAGGCCCAAAATGTCTTGATTCGATCCGCTGATCCGCTGCTCAGATTCGTGCCACAAAGCCGGAGAGGCCAACAGAACAGGAAAACTGTCCGAGACGATATTGAAATCAAGTGGCACTGTGTCCACCATAACCCTGAAATGTTACCTGCATTTTAGGAATGTAGTGGAATTTGGCAGTGGTTCTTGCTGATGGACTCCTATGCTCTTCAAGACCTTCTGTGAAATGATGTCATTTGAAAGTGGGAGGCCCTGTGACCAAGAGATGTAAATTTTGCAAGAGAACCAACTGTATTTGGATTTATTTGGGGTGGAAAGGAGAGATCCTTTTCATGGCTCAGTTGGAAAACCCGGAAGGAATCGGGAGAGGTGTCGTCAGTGGACACTCCGACAGCATGCGCCGAACCTTGGGGACTGTTCCATCTACCTTCAGTCCACTACAAACCACTGGCAAGAAAGTCACCCATCCTTCCATTCCACGTTTTTTTCCCTCCGACTGTTCGGGCGAAGTGTGACGTACACCACGTGACATCATATGCCTTTTGTTTCAATCCATTTCATCAGTGGTCCAGAAGGAGAAGAAGAGTCCGTGCCTTCAAGTTCCATCTTCAACCAACGTGCCAATGCAGCCGTTGCCGCTTTGTGGTGACCTGACGTGCACTGGTCAGAAGGACACTCCCTGTGACTGACCAGGACATGATAATTAGTAGTGATGTTTGACTGACAAAAAACCCAACGTTTGGAATTTAAAATTCTTCATCACCTCCCTTGCGGTCCGTCCTGAACGACGTCCCCTCTTAGGACGTGATCACGCATCACTGCGGACACTCATGGTCTCACAGCGCAAGTTGTACATAGAAAGAGTGAACCAAGACCAAACTACGAACACACAAGAAGTCAACCAGCAGAGTGCAGTGGGATCTCCCATGAAGAAATCTGCTTTGAACAACCTGCATCCATCATCTGGGCAAGTTCTGTTTGTTCCGGCGCATTGAAGAATGGAACTGCTATGGGGCGTGCATGCACAGATTTCGATGGTCTCGGTCGCAACGAGCCCCTTGTCTTTCAGAAGGGAGCTCGTTGCCGGTCGCCTACACAAGAATCTATATAACAATGAAATGAGGGACACGAGGTTGTGAAATCGAATGGTGCGAACGCTCTAGAATTCAACAAAGCACGAGGCTCTCACATCAAGTGTCAAACCAACGAGTTGCTAACGTTGCTAAACACCCACCTCGATGGTTGAGGAATTTGGTCAAGATCCTCCCTACATGTAGAAACCTGTCGCGAAATTTCGGGAGTTGTATGGAACCGAGGGTTACTCCCGCCTCGTGTGAAAGCTTGTGGGTATATGATATGATGGTCGCCAAGGTTTTCGTGGGGTTATGGCGGGCCCCGTATACGGTGTAATGGTTATGGACCTGGCAAATCTTCATTGTGAGCTGATCCCACGAATTTGCCATCTTTTATGATTTTGGAATAATGGGAAACGCGCGTTTTTGTGGTAAGCATTGGGTTTTCTTGTTGGACATCCTGCGCAACGTTGTTGGAGCATAGCGAACAAATCTATGCCAACCGCCCACGCAGCGCACACGCGCCGCGATTGGGCCAGTTGAGACATCACGTGTTCCATCAGTTCCATACAGATCCGGTTCTGAACGCGTACCTTCAACAGGCTTCAGACATGAAGGTTGATGTCTGAAATGAATGCCTGGTCAATACCGACGTGTCCGGCTAGGCAAAAGCACTATCTCAGACATTCTCAAACCCCTTATCTTCCTGAACCGTTAATCCTGGAAGCTTTCTTTCTCTGGGCAGCGTTGAAACTGAATTTGATTTGCGCGAAATGAGCCAGTGACTGCCCCAAAATCCACAATGGCACGCTGCACCGTGTGATCATGCGACTGGTACTTAAGAATCTTAAGAGACATATAGCCCATGAATCGCCATGCTTGTTAGTCCAAAATGATACAGTCTTTGCCTTGGTATATATTGTAAGCACCTGAAGAAAACATTCACACCGCAATGGGCCGATTTTACTAGCGGTGCTTCAACCATGGAACTTCTATACCCTCCCTTGAAACAAGCACTTGTTGCACAAATCCTGGGCATAATAAGTAACAGTAGTACCTGGGCTGAGGCTCCTTTCAGGACGCCGACGCCTGGGCCTGGCCGCACTGGCACCTCCAAGACTCCAACGAATTCTCTGCCTGGTTCCTATTTATTCTACGCACGTGGTCCATGTGTCGCCAGGCGTTTTCGTCTGATGGTAGACGCAAAGTGCTTCAGATTGCTGTCATCTGTGGCTCCAGCCAGGTATCGATTCCATTGGAAAAAAGTTCTTGATCTGTTGAGACAGCTCCCAACCCCGACAGGCACCACGCGAAGCCACGCAGCCACATGTTTGGAGGGCTTTTGACACGTGCGCAAATCTCTGTTTGGTGAGGTTTGATACGCTGCAGGAATGTGCAAGGGTCACGCACCATCCATCCTCACGCTTAGTACATTTCACCGTAGTCCAGTGGTTCCTTCAACGCACCAAAAGCACCGTCGGGACATCTTGGAACATATATATAGCAATCGGAATCAAGCATTGGCTTGCTGCGGCGAATGTCATGGGTGGCGGGAATGCTCGATTAGACACTAGTACATGCGTAGCTTGCAGGATCACAGGATCATTCCAATTTCCAAGATTGAATAAGCTGTCCCACGGTACCCCCGTCCTGGGCGGCGTGTGCATTGGTGGGACCCGCAAATGAATGATAAGTATGGTGCATCCTCCGCTTCCACCTTTCAGCAGACATCAGTCATCAAGGAAACACACGGTACACTGGATTCAGGCGCCTGCATCTTTTGCTATGGCAAAGCCCATGACTCCTAGCTTCATTTGCGTTATACAACATGTTTGCACGATTCTCTGGCTGACATGGTCCCAATGAGGAGGCAGTTCATTTCCACCTGGCTCATCTTGCATTTCTTCTTTGACGCAGTAGGCTGGGTCTGTGCATGGGGTGGTCCAGAATCAAACAACCTCACACGCTTCCTTCTCCAGCTTCCTGGGGAGATTCTTCATGGCATCTTGTACATCATAAGTGCGGCGCAAAACCGAGCCCCCCCCGAAATCCATACGCCGCAGGATTTACAGAGCAAGGGCTGTAGGTACTCATATCTGCAGGTTGCACTGACTAGTCTCTCGCACTGCTGCATAGCCGTGACAACAAGCATGATCATGAGCAACTCCTCATAGGAAAGTTCCCGCAGGGCCGCGGGGCATCATCTTTACTTTACTATCTTCAGCAGGCGACGCAATAGCCACTGCACACCGACACCATCCGGAATCCATGCCTGATATACCACCCCTCAGGCGAACCTTTCAAAAGGGCATCGAAGGCGGACATGGGCAACTTTACTCTGAAGGGTCCTGCTCGCTTCTCCATTCATCATCTGGACGTGGCACCTTGCAGCTCCATCCTTTTGCCGCCTCCGCAAAATCCGCTCCTCCAGACAACAACAGCTTACTTGTGGATCTTTCCTTTGCCACCGGTAGCTGTCCGGTAGCTTACTTGTGGATCCTCCATGGCGGCGCTCGCTTCGAATGCGTGTTTCCCAGCCACATCACAGGCGAACCAACTGCACATAGGTTGATGTGGGGAGAGGGTTCGGGCCGAAGTGCCCATATGGGTGTTGATCAAGAGTCAGCATAATACGTATATATTTATATTTAGACCCTTGTGTTATCGACAGGTTGCCTAGGCACCCTGCAAAAATTAAAATAGAGTGCTCAGGGCCTACCCCTGCAAAGATCTGTTGACAACATGGGCATGGGGTGCGGAACCAGAAATGACAAAATAAAGTTCCTCAGCAAACCGGAGCTCCCACGAACCAAGACCGCTTATAGGGTTGCTCGGCTGTTCGCTTGCGCTTTGGTGAGTTTCAACATATATATATATATACATGTCGTCTCCATCTTTTGGGTGTGGCAACGAACCAAAAGAAAACACTCTGTGAAGAGGACTCCAGCCAAAAGATCTATTCTAGACCATCACATAAACGTTCTTGAAACATTTGGGAAGTCCCACCCCCTCCAAACAAGTCTGAAGCAAGTGACATAAGAAGAAACGGTACGGTTTATGGATCTTGCTTCTGACATACTGCCCGAAGGAATATCCTGCTGCCAGAACGATGACAAAGACGAGGAGAGAGGCCACGATGGTGCAAAGGATCATCACTGCAGTGAGATCTTCGTCTTGAACGCTCAAACCGCTCAACAACCTCGTCGGCTCTCTTGAATGCAAAGCGAGCCAGCCCCGCCAACCATAAGATCGATTTAGGATGTCTGGGAAACCTTCCCGTATGTGTGTTTAACTTTTTGGGGGGGTTGGCCCAAAAAGGCTCTAGAGTGCCAGGGTCGGTTGAACCTGGGACACCAAGTTGGGTTGACTTTTTGGGACAAGTACTCTGCTGATTGTGAACCGTACTTTTTGGAACAAGCGACCAAAAACAAACAAAAACACATGACAGGCAAAGAATCCATCCTTTTTGAAGCCCGCCCTTAAATCCTTAAATAGGAACCTCTTCTATCTGGCTTAATGGTTTTCCAGGAGCGCACAAAAAAATAGATTCCCATGTTGTTTGAGTACTTCTAATATCTTCTAATTATTGTTCACGCCAGCTATAACAACCCTGTTTTTTTGGCGTTTTGCGCCTACAACAGCAGTATCTTCCCAGCGGCAATCCGAATTCATGTGCATATTTTCTCACGCCGGTGAGGATGGGATGAGGGATAATCAAATAACGCTCGGTTGCTAATGAATTCTGTATTCTGTTGTTAGAAGACTGATGCTCTGGGGTCATGTCTACGTAACATGAAGACGGTGTTGGCGCTCCTTTCTACGGTAAAGGAAAAAAAAGTGCATGTGTAAGTGTGCACGACGTTCCCTTCTACGTTAAGTGAAGAAAGTGTGTACGATTCTCTTGACAGGGAGGTGGGGTCACACGGAAGTGCATGCAAGCAGTGGAGTTCCCTTGGAAAGAACACCATCTCTGAGAGTGGTCCCGCAGCGACGACACAAAGTGTAATGACAAGTGCGAATGCAAGTGCGAATGCAAGTGCGAAGCAAGCGGTTGTTTTCCGTGAGCTTGAGGCAAAGGCGTCAGTCATGTACATATAGTCATATAGAATGTGAGACCTGACAGAAATCACTCGCAAATCCTCCCAAAGGTCTGTTCGGGAATCTGGTGCGCAACGCCTTGACCGCATGTGGCAAAGCTTGAAGAAGTGCATCCCTAAAGAACTTACTTCCAAAACGAATGCTAGCCTCAACAGCCAGATCAGGGAGTACGTGTGCCCCTTTGTGTGGCGCACGGATACGCGTGACCATTTGAAAGAAATCCGACGGCTGGCGGCTAGCGGCTAGCACTTTGAGTCGGTTTTGTTTGGCAATGGGAACCATGTTCATCTTACAATCCCACTGTAAACGGGACAATCATGCAACTTTCTTTTGTAAAACACAGTATTTTGTAGACGTGCTTTAAACCCCCAGACTGCCGAAGTGCTGTAAGGGTGACCGAAGTGCTGTAAGGGTGCTGTGAGGGTGACCCATCGCACCTTGGAAGAAAGTGCGCGTTTCGCGTGGAGTCGTTGCGGGCGGTGTGACCTAGTTATTATATGTTTAATACAATTGTTTAAATCAATCGGTGTACTGAGCGCATCCAAGATGACAAGAGCACGAGCAGAACAGCCTGCCCAGCAATGTCTACCTGGGTGGCGAGGATCGAGCGCCAAGGCTTGTAGTATGTCACCAAGATTACACTCGCCATCAAAAGTAAGCCCAGCACCTAAGGTGTCGAGTCTGCTTCTTGCGTGACAATACATTCCTGTTCTGTCAGGCCTACAGGAAAATCTCGAGATCATTCATAATGCAAGCTCTCTCACTGATACTGTGAACTATATTCATAGGGCACGGACAAAAAGGCTAAAAGCGGTGGAGAACATCGGCGTGAAGGGAATGAACATGTTGCGAAGCAAAAAGATCACCGTGAAGGCTTCATATCCTGCCGAACTCCAAACTGCCTTTGCAAACCTCAAGATCTCAAATTTTTAGACCCGGTACCTCTCTGTAGGCTAGAGTGCGCAATGAGTTCCAGGACAACTACCCAAGCAGCATCAACTAGTTGTCTTCAAAGCAACAGAGCGTTGCAAGGCTTTCCAGTTACAAAAAAGATGAAAACACGATGACCGAAAAACTTAGAGAAACCTGTCAAACACATTATACAATCATGTTCCAAGGTGATCGAAATCTCCGCGGACTAAGGGGACATCCGCATCGTCCGCGGAATGATATATTTTTCGGAGACTTGGGAATTTCATCATGTCTCAAATGACAAGAACTTTGGCCGTGTTGCATCATCCCGCCTTAGGATTAATAGAAGGAAACATGGTTGCCAGGCTCCTGTACAATCAATATCAAACCTTTTCTTTCCTACCCACTCCCACTGGCTGTGGAATAGCTCCCCAAAACGGCATTGCAACCCCAAGAAAACTGACTTCGGGAGTTCTGGCAGGATTTGTCCAGTGTGTTGTATATTTTGGGTTGTTTCTCAAGATTTTAATCTTTAACGTGGCAAGCCCTTCAAAAGAAGCTCATAACCTATTACGCAATAGCTTCTTCACTGAAAAACGATCCTTTTCTTCCAGGCATTACCTCAATTTTCATCTCATAATTGGCTAACTTTTGCACGAAATCTCTACAATTTCAATGGTGCTGAAGTTCTCAATTCTTTTCGGTCCATGAAGTGCCAGAATGTGCCAGAAAGGATACGGCAAAATTTGGACGATGAAGGCATTTCCGCGGAGAAAGGACATGACCGCTATTCCATGCTCTTCCCCTCTATCTCAATGGTTGATATCTTTTGTCGGATCGATTTTTTGTGAGCATTCAATATGTAATACTGTAGTGTATATATATATACAAATATAATATACATAATTATTCCAGAGTATCAAAATAACAAATACATGACTGGGACTTTCCGACTCTCCTGGCTTGAACCTCATCGTCAAGAATGAAGTCATTCGGATGAAGTTCGTGTCCCCTTGGGCCACACGTCTAGGGAGTTCTTTCGCGAGGATCCAAGAAGAGACTGCCAAGAAGCCCACTGGAGCAATCAGCATCACCAAAGCCATGATGCACAAGCTCAAATGCTGGTCCGTAAAGTTGCAGAAGACGCTGTGTGCAGTCTGCATGGTGGCCAAACCATTTGGATGCTCGTTGCATCGAAATGGCTCCAAGCATACAAAGCAAATCAAGATGAAGAAAAGCAGGCATAGGGAGCCCAAAGTCCCGATCAGAATGGAGATTTGCCATGTGGGTTTGTGGTTGGCCTGCAGGCAAGTCTTTGTCGATTGATGTCGGTCGACTATCGAAACGGCTCTCGCTGCTCGCTGCGGTCTGAGAAACATGAATGAAGCTGATGTGTGCACAAGCGGGCCCCAGCGCAAAGAACAAGGGAAGCAAAAGAGCTCGAGTCAAGAAATTTGCTGCTGGTGTCAAGCTGGCAAAGCAATTGATGCTCCACAAAGAACTCAACAATGATTCCATGGAAAAGATGTTGAAGAACTCCAGAATGCTTAGAAAAGGCTCCTTATTAGCGGCAGTTCAAATTGCCACACTCCGGCTTCTTTAAAGTTACCTTTTTGGAGTCCCATCTAGTGACCTTTTTCAGGCATAAGCGATCTCAAACCAAGGAATCAAGTTCGATCACGTTCAAGAAAGAATAGACCTTTGATCCTCTTCTCTGCAATCACCTGGAAACGACCAATCGGCTTCCAAGCCGTGACGGATGCCAAGTCTCCAAGTCTTGAGCGAAAGCTCCCCCCAATCCCCGCTTTTTGGATCTCCCACAAGCAGAAGCGGTTGCATCTGCCGAAAAAACATGAGCCACCAGTGGACAGAGGGGCTCCTAAATAAGGCGATTCAGCCATCAAAGCCAAATGTTGAAAGCCCGTGTTTTGTTGTTGAAGTAAAGATTCCCCAGAAGGAAATGCCTCTTCAGGTAGCCCAAGGACAAGTTTAATAAAATAGTCTTAGACTTCCAAGGGATTGCTTTCTTGATGTTTCAGGGTGTGCCAGTTTGGACGAAGCTCCATCCACTTCACAGCCTGAATCTGCCTCATCACCGCCAGCAACTGGGCAAAGGTGACTAAATGGCTCCTTGGAAGGGGCTGACTTGGCTCACAGGACAGAAAGGACAAGTGTATATAGCTTCCCTGGAACAGGACTTTTAGAAGAGGGAAAACTATAGGCTGACCGAGGTGGGTTGTTTGGTTCACAAGAACGCCGGGCCTGAAAACGAGACTGTTTTCCTGTAGTGGACGTGTTAATTATCAGACCTATTTAATCATATTTAGTATTGTCGAGATTTTCCAATGCTTTCCGGGATGTTCCACGAATCCCAAGGTCAAACTATATGAACAGTGCCGTATACAAATAACATCATGTGTATATATATATATATTGTATATATATATACATGTTTTGAAAGTGTTTAATATTGTAATACTTATCATTGATCTATTCCAGGGTTCAAGCACAAGGCTGCAGTCACAAGTCTGCTTTGCAAGCGGTTGCTGCCGTGGCCACCCACACTGATCAGTATGTGCATTACGCCGGTGGCAAAGATCACGAGCAAACCAAAGAAAAGCAAACGGAAATAGTCACCTCAGTATTGTGCGTGCACGTGTCGAAGAAGCGCGAAGAAGGAAGGGTCACAGCCATACCAAAAAGAGGCGGGGCCAGGCTGAAAAAAGGGTGCGACTGCGAGGCCATGCGAGGCTGCAGGTCATCTGTGCAGTTGGTCGGACAGGGTGGGGAAAATGGGTGGGTGTCTGTCAGTCCGGACCCCTTTGAGACCGGCTTTTGAAGTTGGGTCCGAACATGGAAGGGATCTTTCGGCTCCACACCGGGGCAGGAACTCAACGGGTCAGGAACTTAAGCCGAACAAGTGCTCCAAGTCTCCTGCTGAGCAAGGAAGGCATTCTGCACCACTCGGTTGCAAGCCTGTAAGGCACTCACTGCAACCAGGACTATGGCTATCCCATCCACTGGCACAAGTTCCGGGTACGCCTCCCGGGCACCGCGCAGGATTACCAAAGCCTCACTGGTCCGCATCAAGACTTGGCGCCCACATTCCTCAAACTCCCCCAAGGTAGCGATGGCCTCTAACCTAGTAGCGATGGCCTCCAACCTACTAGTATAGAACCTTGATAGTTGTTTATGGAATAGGTACCCCCTAGAGATAGCAGGGCTAGGACTGCAGAACTGAAGACTCTTCCTTCCCGTTCCCTGATTCATCAACGAATCAGGCTGCCGACCGGATGCAGTTCAAAAAGGGTTGGAAAAAAGATTGTCCTTTGTCTTCGGGGAGAAAGATGAGGAATTCGCCCCCCCTGGCAGAATCTGCCGACTAGGCAGACCTTGGGGACCGTGGCCTGGGACCTTGGTCGGGTCCGGGAAGCAGCACGACAAGAAAATCCAGATGCATAACTTTGATTGCGCTAAACATCTAGTTGTGGCGGCCGTATTGGGCCTGGGGTGGGTGAAACGCACCCGCTATAGGTGTAGGATTGTTTGTCTTACAGTGTGGGAGGAAAGCAAAGTCAAATGGATCTCGGTTGTCTTCATATGGTGGCGAAGCAAATGTGCTTTGTTGTCTCCAGTGGTGCAAATATGGTATGTTGTGGGTGTTGCTCAAAAATAACAATAAACCCAGGGACCCGACATGTCTTCGTGATGTCACCCAATCATTTATCAGGTAACTGAATGTGCTGGGCCTAGGAAAGCAGCCGAGAAGCATTGGAAAAGTACTGCTGGCTCATTCGGCTTGGAATGGAAACCCGGCAGAACTTCCAAAGCATTGGACCCAGGGCATGAGGACCCCGTGCCACACGGCAGGCACGTGCCATTTTGCAAAAAGCGGCCAGGAGCACCTCAGAAAATATGAATTAGCTTTTCGACAAGTCGTCTCCTACTTGGATGGCCCTGCATCAAAGACGTCCTTTTGGGAACAGATCTGTTTGGCTGCAAACAGCCTGCCTCTCGAGCTCACTGCCCTCTAAAACTTTGAGTCTCCACTTTACAATTGTCCACTACAGTGAGTCAACCGGAGGGAGTAAAGCAAAGATAGAATAAGGTTGGAGGGCCATCGCTTCTAGGCTGGAGGGCCACGGCTTCTAGGCTGGAGGGCCATCGCTACATATAGAGAAGAATCGGTCCAGGGATCCAGGATGATCCAGGCAAACCACCAAGGCCGGTCACCGGTGGTTCCAAAGAAAAACAAACACAAAGCTAGAAGTCCTGGTTCCTTATATAGTGGTACCTGGGATCCTCTGGGCATGGCTTAAGCAGCACAAACGAGAGCATACGAAACCCGAACTGGACCATTGGGAGCAGATCTCAAAACGACTAACGACTCCCTAAATGACGCACATCTGCACTAAAATGGTCTCTACTACAGAAGTCGGTTGCCGGTTCCAGCGTGCGGGACGCTGGCAAGTGCTGTTTTGATGATCAAAGACTCAGTAGTGCACCAACTGTACCTACGCACTTGTGAGACGTGTTCGTAAGCAACTTAATGCCACCCATCTGGCGCAGCTACAACACGCTACAACTATCCCTGAAAATCCACAAACATGCCTTTCAGGTGGTTGGCACGTGTTGGGATGCGGATGAGGGTCTGTTTGAAGTGTTGAACTACATGCTGAGGATGTGCGGTCGTGTTACTGTCGAACTGATTATTCAAGGCCGCGGCCAAAGCTGGTGACTCCCAGTGATGGGTGATCCTTGCAAAATTCCGGGCCCCGCACACGATAGGAAAAACCAGGTTGGCGTGTCTCTCAGTTCCATGCAGGGCGCCCAGGTTGGTGCAGGGCTGTCCAGTGGTAGGCACACTACATACCGGTCCAAAGCTACATTTTGGTCCACCCAGTCCCGTTCTCGACGCCAAGGCACAACGGCAATAGGACTCTGAGATGGCTCCTTGCACTTCGATCCACTTCTTCTCATTCCCATCGTCTGCAAGAGTTGTAGTCGTCCTGAAATCGGTGTCATTTCCACACCTCAGGCAAGAGCTCATTCCTGCAAATGGAGCATATGAACCACGGCCACATGGTGAGCAAAGAGCCTGCCCTTCATTTGCTGCGAAGGTCCCAGGGTCGCAAAGAAGACACCGCTCTTTGCCAATTTGGCTTTGGTGCTGGCCAGGCGGGCACATAACCTGATATCTGAACCCCCGATCAAGTGCTTCATGGTTTGCCAATTTCAATGATGTTCAAACCATGCAAGACCGGGTGTGTGTTAGAATAGGGAGACCCCGGCAAAACCTCCTGTAAAAGTTAAAAGCAAGCCAAAACCCAGCAAGGTTTCCCGATACACAGCGACAGCCCAGAAACGCACTGGTGAGTCTGCCCAATCTCATCTGCCAAAAACTGAGACGATCTCCCTGCAGGACAAAGACGGCATCCAACGGCTTCCTCGCGAGAGCCGACCTGAACAGTGTGCCAACTAGGAATTCTCACTCTGCCCATTCTCCACCCTTGCAGTCTACGAACCTTGTGTCAACCAGGAAATCCCAAGGGGTGCACTCCCATTCACTAACATGTGTAGAGTTCACTCTCTGTGCCTAAAGGGGCCTATGCCATCCTTCCATGTGAGTGGGTCAGAGTGTGACCCTTGGAATTGGAGGAGTCCCCTTGGAGCACCCCTGGAGAAGTCTCACTGACACGTTTGCAAAAAGCCACCGCTGACGGTGAGAGGTGTTCAGCCATTCTCCAAAAACACATGTTGTATGCAAACTGAAGTTTATGATGCGACATCACTAGTGATCATGCATATAATATGCTATTATGTATATACGTATATAATATATATATATGTCCTATGTTGGTGTTTATGTATAGATGATTATAACTGTACATTGTATACATGGTTTACCGCCTTGAACTTCTGTCTCCTTTACAATTCTACAATATTTGCAGTGTGTCGTGCATATAGTCATGCACCTGTTTTGAGTTCCAATAAATGGAAGGCGAGTGACAAATACAATGTATATCTATATACACTGGGGAACAATTTGAACGAATATCAAACAACTAAACATAACCTAATTAAATTGTAATGGCCTCCAACCTACTAGAGATGGCCTCCAACCTAGTAGTGATGGCGATGGCCTCCAACACGTTGCTTGCTGTTTCTCAATGCCTTTTATGGATGTGAACCGGTGAGGTACATACTTTGGAATACTTTGAGTCAACTCTGAAACAGTCTGGCAAAACAGCGGACTTGCTGGACTTCTCGTTTGGGACGGTTGTACTCTCATCCGACAACGTTTGCGAAGAACCCAGGCCTACATCCTGCATAGGTTCAGTCCAAGACAAAATATAAGAAATCGCTCTTTGTTGGGTGTGCTAAACAAGGTCAAGAGTAGCAAGAGACTCACCATGAGGCTACTTGGGCTGAACCATTCTAAAAGCATCACTGCCCAGCAACTGTGCAGCCCAAATGAATGAACGAATGAATGAATCAATCACTCAATCAACCAATGAATCAATGAATGCGTTTGTCTATGAACACGGAGGGGGTGGTCTTGTGGAAGTGCTTGTGATCCACATGACCCTGATCCTAGACTTCAACAATTAAGATTATACAAAGGCAGTGTCTCTTTAGGCTGGTGCTTCAAAAAAGACACGGGTGCATGCATGGATACCAAGAGCTTTCGTTTAGGTTCAGGACACTGCGAGAGCAGCGCAACTAAAATTGTGGAAGTACGGCCATTCAAAACAAATACAGTTGGAAAGGGAGACTCTCTTTGCAAAGATGAGGTTCTTACATAATTTGAATGATTTTTGTTCCAAGCGGGCACTCATGTAGCAAACAATTTCATGAAGGAGATTCTGGAAAGGGGAGGAGACATGATTGTACAAACAAGACCTTATAGAAACGATAAGACTTGTACAATCAATGCATGACAACGAAACTAAACATATGGATGAAACAAAAAAACCTGTATTTTGCCGGAAATATTCTAAACATGAAAACTCTGTAGAGCCTTCGGGAAAAGTCTCACCTGTGTAGTATTTGGCAGTGCCTGATCCGAAAACGAATAGAATCATCATCTTGACACTGGTCCATCAGGGGAGTTGGAACTCCCCATCATTCCCTTGAAGCTGCTACAATACACACACATGATCTCAAAAACAACAACTGATTACAACACGCACTGCGTCAACCACAGAATGTTATTGAAAAACAAAATGAATCCCAAGAGCCCGAATGCATACATGTACTCGAAGACTGACACCCAAAATGTTCACCCTTGTAGAACGCTCTTATGGGACAGTCTCGTGCGACACGTTCGTCACTCTGTGGGACACTCTTGCAGGACACTCTTGTGGGACACTCTCGCGCGACACTTTCTTCACTCTGTGGGACACTCTTGCAGGACACTCTTGTGGGACACTCTTGTGGACTCTTGTGCAACACTCTTGCGGGACAGATGTAGTTTGGCCACATAAGTTGACAGTTCTGAGACCACAGCTCCCAGAAACTGCTTCCCGTACTACATTTGTACTACAAAGCTGCCAGTTCTACAGCTCCCAGAAGCTGCTTGCCGCACTACATTTGTACTACCAGGTGGCCAGTCGCTTCTCTCAGTGCTCTTGTAGGACACTCTTGTCGGGAACCTTGTCAAACATTCTTGCAGGACACTGTTGTGGGACAGACGCTCTTGCCGGACAGTTCCAAATGACACTCTTGTGGGACACCCTTGTAGGACACTCTTGTGGGACTCTCTTGTAGAACACTCTTGTCGGCCACTCTTGTGGAAAAAGTCTTGTGGGGCACTCATAGGACACTCTTGTGAGACACCCTTGTAGGTAGGACACTCTTGTCGGCCACTCTTGCAGGGCACTCTTGTCGGACACTCTTATGGAAGAGTCTTGTGGGGCACTCTTGTCCGACACTCTCATGGAAGAGTCTTGTGGGGCACTCTTGTAGGGCACTCTTGTCGAGCACTCTTGCGGGACACTATTGTGGGACACTCTTCCGGCACACTCTTGTAAGACACCCTTGTTGTTCACTCTTTCGGCACTCTTGTGGGGCATTCTTCTGGGACACCTAGCGGGACATACTTGTAGGACGCTCTTGTGGCACACTCTTCTGAGACACTCTTGGCGCACTCTTGTAGAACACTCTTATGGGACACTCCT